TCAACTTTGTTTCCATGATTTCTTAGAATGTAATCTTGTTTGTGCTCCATTATAGGTAATGTATTTTCTCCTACAGGTTTCTTTCAGATTTTTTTTTTTAATTTTTCATTTTCTGTAGTTTGACAATGATATACCTAGCTGTAATTTCTTTTGGCATTTATCCTGATTGGTGTCTTCTGAGCTTCTTGGATCTGCGGTTTGGTGTCTGATACTAGTTTGGGAAAATGTTTAGTCATTATTGCTTCAAATATTTCTTTTCCTGTCTTTTTCTTCTCTTTCTGGTATTCTTGTTAGGCATATGTTACATCTTTTATAGCTGTCTTATAATCGTTATTCTGTGTATTTTGTTCCAATCTTTTTTCTTTTTGTTTTTCAAATTTTACAAGTTTCTAGTGAGATATCCTCAAGCTCAGATTCTTTTCTTAGCCATGTTTCCTAATAAACAATCAAAGGCCTTCTTCATTTCTGCTGCAGTGTTTTTTTACTTCTGTCATTTCTTTTTGTTTTTTTCTTTGGATTTTCTTCTCTCTGCTTTACTTTTTTCATCTGTTGTTACATGCTGTCTACTTTATCCACCAGAATCCTTAGCATCTTAATCATAATTGTCTTAAATTCTTGGTCTGTTAATTCTAACATAATTCTAGTATGTCTTTTGTTTATTTAAACTTTTTGAGAACCAGACATGATTTACTGAGGAAAAGGAACTATTACCAACAGGCCTTGAGTAATGTGGTAGTAAGATGTGGGAGATGGGGAAGCAGTCTGTAGTGCTATGATTAGGTCTCAGTCTTTTGGTAATCTTGTACCTTTAGGTTGTGAACTTCACAAATGTTTACCAATACCGTCAATACCATCAATCCCCCACCTCTTAAATATGTAAGGATGGGTAGAGTGAATTGGAGTTTGATATTTCACTTCTCCAGATCAGAAAAGCTCTGATAAAACCCCAACAAATTAGGCTCTGATTAATTACTTTAAGGGAATATCATATTAAGAAGAACAGGGTGACTTGTATTCAAAATGGTTCCTTTACCCCTTTTACCTGATGGAAACCCAAAGGGATTTTTCTCTGGATATTCATGGTGAGAACCTAGTAGAGCTCCAAGAGGTAAAAATCAACTCAAGTATGGAACCATTCAATGACTAATCTTCTTGGCGTTTTTAATTCTCAGTGTTGTTCACATTGAGCCTCCAGTAATTCATCTGATAGTTTGGTTTTCCTATTCTGGCACTGGTTTTCATGGAAATTTCTGCTCCTGTAAGTTTTGATTCTCTGTACTCACCCATAGGTCTCTCCAATTTTGAGGGCAGTGGCTTGTCCTGTGATTTTATTTTTCTGACAGATTTAAGAAGAGGTGTTAATTTTTCCATTTGCTCAGTGTTTTACTTGTTGTTAGGACGGAGCAACAACTTCAAACCTTCTGACATACTGGACTGAAAATCAAGTCAATAAGTCACATGTTAACCTTTTTTTTAATCTTGCCTATTTATAAAGTATGAGTATTTAAAGGGTTTTTATTCACAATTAGTAAATAGTGTGCTGCTGTCTGACCAAGTTTAAGTACCTCTCCTCTCTTAGGCAATAAAATACCCATTCTTCTGTATAAAAAGGGCAAGTTAAGAGATTGTAGTTACATTCGTTACATCCAAATGCTGAATGTACATTTCTTAATACCTTGGTTACTTATAAAATATTTTTCTGTGCATCATGATATTCCCAATATAAGAATAAATTAGCTTCTGGAAAATGTTTTCTTTTTGTTTGTTTTATTTTGTTTGTTTGTTTTTTGTTGTTTTTTTTTTAGGGTGCATTCCAAGACAAAGGCAGAAACAGTTCCTGGGTAAGGGCAATTTTCTTTTACATGTTGCATTTGTTCAGATGTTAGATACAGAAAACAAATTTAATTGATTGAGGTAGTGAGACTCAGGGCAATTTATTTTGAAAGAAAGTCAATATGATAATTTCATAATATTCTATATAGTTTAATAAACAATTACATTTATGTGAAAAACTCAGTGTATCATTTTTCTTTTTCTTTATTTAAAATATTTCTGAATATTAAAGGAAAAAGTACTTCTTTAGATGCCCTCATTATTATTTTTTCATTAATCACATTGTTCGAATAAATTTTTATAGTTTTTTTGAATCCTCGCTTGTACAGGATGATACATCCTAGCTTTGTTGCTATTTGAGTAAATCTGAATTATTATTTATCTTTCTTTTAGCAGCTTCTAGCACCTCATATGTTATAGCAATTTTCTTGCTATTTTTGTTTCAATATACATGTCTACAGATTTATTTTGTGTGATATTTGAAATGAGTAAAATGGGTTGAATTTGTAGCCCTAAAAATATATTTGCTATTAGTATATATTATGGTTGGGATTCCTTATTTGCAAACAAAGAGCATTTGCTCATGGTATAAAGTATAATCCGGGGACAGAAGAGATAAACAACCACACTTATATTTAATAGGTAAAGAATTATTACATGGAAATAAGAAGGATGTACCCAAGAGTATAATAACATATTCAAAATGACATTTTAAAAATGATTTAAAGAAAGGATGTATTGTATGTAATGCTATTAATGGTGGAAAGCGTCCAGGTTCTTGGCATCTTGAACAAAGAATTAGACAAAAGGTACAAATAAAGCAAGGAAGGAATGAAGGGTTTTATTGAAAATGAAAGTACAGGCTGGGCACAGTAGCTCATTCCTGTAATTCCAGCACTTTGAGAGGCTAAGGTAGGCAGGTCTCCTGAGGTCAGGAGTTCAAGATCATCCTGGCCAACATGGACAAACCCAGTCTCTATAAAAACTTTTAAAAATGTTGGATATTGTCCTGTCTTGCTAGGTTGGGAAAGGACAATATTCAACTCCTGGAAATACAGAGAACACCACAAAAATATTCCTCAAGAATACCAACCTCGAGGCACATAATCGCCAGATTCACCAGGGTTGAAATGAAAGAGAAAATACTGTGGGCAGCCAGAGAGAAAGGTCAGGTCACCCATAAAGGGAAGCCCATCAGACTCACAGCAGATCTCTCAGTAGAAAC